CGCTGCTCTTAATTAGGTCACCATCTTGCGACACACGTGATATCTCGTCGTGCCGTGGCTGACTCATCAGACGACATTATCATCACAGCTCGTGACGTGGTACGCTGAACAAAAAGCGCTTGGCAAGCCGTCATGAAAGCGACTATTTACAACACATTTCGGATGGCAGGCTTTGTTTGTTCAAACACCGATTCTGGCGAAGAAATAGCTACTATCGATGCCTCGGCAGTCTTGCAAAGCCTCAATGTGTTTCTAACTCATATTAAAATTGGTGGATAAACGCTGTCAGCCTGTGAGTTCATCGAGATGGATACAGAGACTCCAGTTTTTAGCGAGTGGAATGACGCTGGCGACAGTCTGATCATTGTTGATGGAGAAAGCGGCAGCAAGAAAAACAACAATGAAGACAATGAAGATGACGACAGGCCGACTGAAACACCACCCAAACTCGTCGAGGCAATGGATATGGTCAGACGATTGCACCTTCTGGCTGCCACTCAACAACCACAACTGCATTCTCTTATCTCTCAGTTGGATTCGCAGCTCACACAACTCTTCATCGACTCGAAAGGGTTAAACAGACAACCATCGACGATTTTTTTAATAAAAACTGAATAGATGTGTTATAAATGAAAGAAATACGTTTTATTACTTGACACTGACTGGAACATATTCTAACATAAGATGTGAATAGTCATGAGTCGAGCATACTAACTATGCATTGTATACATCAGAGCAGCAGGACAGGCTGGATTTTTAGATCTTCGCCTGACCTGATCAGGCTAGAACATTTTTGACCTGGTCTGCAGGCCAGACCAGGGTAAAGTTCTTAGCGTGGTTACACATTAAGTTAAAATGTGTCGCATGTGTTATGATTTGCGACACAATGTACGACACATCTAAGTACGACAAGAGGTGTTCGTTGCGACACATTATCCCGAGCGATCGCACAGCACATTCTGTACGACACATGCGACACATTCTGAAAACGTGTTCGAATCCACTAGCTAGCATGTTGTTGATTATTTTTGTTAAAGCAAATCATGAAATTTGTTCCGATTTTATCTTATTGAATAGTTCCATTTCTGAAAACTCAAGCAGGTCAGGCCTCGAGCCAGTCCGGTTTTGTACCAGACCACTTCAGGGTAGTCCTACCTTGATCAATGATCGAGACAGGCATGCTCTCGACTAATTAATAATCGAGAAATAATCTAAAAAATATCTAAATGAAAATACATAATTTTCCTATGTTCAATTGAGTTATCTATATAGAGCCTTATGCGCAAAAGAAAAGGGTGAATTGATAGTCGTCATACAGAACGTGATAAATTTATTAGCGACACTTTCTATTGCGACATATTTTCCTCATTGAACCTGCGACACTATAACTCGCGACACATTTGTGCGACACATTTTAACTTTAGAGTGTGTGTTGCGTCATCTGCGTCCATATAAGGGAGATACCCAGCCAGACAAGTATTTTACAATAATATGTGAATATGTGTTAAAAAGGATGAATTTCTTTTTAATTTCCGCATTTTTAGATGGAATTTTGTTAATAAAAGATGTTTTTAGGCTGTTTTTTCTTGATTAATTTGAAGTGTCTATAATGCATAGTACCGTTTTGGATAGAAAACACTCTCTGACCTCGTTTATAGATGGAGCCAGGGTTGTCAACTGTACCCCATTTCGTCATTTCGTACCCCGGAAAATTTTGTACCCCATTGAGGCTTTGAAGCATTATATGCGATTAACTAATTTTATAACGAAAAAAAAGCTGTTCTTCACTAGAGTTTTGTCATCTTGATAAAGATATCTATAATAAAATTTATTGGTGAAGAACAGACCAATAGATATACAAATTTATTTTGTTAATTCCACCTGAATTATGTTTTCGGTTTTAAATAATAAGTTCATCACGAATAATGAAATAAATTTTAATGAAATTTTCTCAATTTCTTGTCTCCCATTGTTTCATTGCTTTTTCATATTATATTTGATAAATACATACTCTCTTCAAAATGAATCTAGTTGTAGACTTTGTCTTCAATGAATTTGATGATAATCTTCGTATGGCATTGAACAAGGTTTTTGAAATTGAAGTTTCTGATGATTCAGAAGCGACAACAGCAGGAGGTGAAGAAGATCTTGGTTTACAGAACAAACCAACTACTGGTATCAAAGGAAAAATAATTAGTTCATCAAAGTCAAAACGACGTTGTACTTTCAACCAAAAATGGTTGAAAGATCTAAAATATGCAGTATTTATCAGAGAATGCCGAACTAATAAATATTCTGCTCATTGTTCTATTTGTAAATCAGATTTCTCTATTTCTAATGGTGATGTTTATTTAATTAATCATCACATTGAACAATCCAGTCATAAACGTTTAGCTGAAACCCCAGCAAAAGAAAATTGTAAAAATTAAGATTGGTACGCCGTGCGTTTTATTGAATAGCTTATTTTTTGTTATTTAGCACGATCAATACACGATTTTATTCCAGCATCATCAACGCTAACTAAATTGACTGCAGCTGAACTTAGTCTTGTTTATCATGGAGTTCGTCGTGGCTATAGTTATTTAAGTCAATCATGTACAGTTGATCTTCTTAAGAAGATTTTTAATGATTCTCAAATTGGACAAATTATCACTTGTGGCAAAAAAACAAAAGCACGAGAATTATCAGTAAATGTGCTTCGTGAGTTAATTCTATCTGTAGTAATTCTCGAAAAAATATTATCTAATAAAAAAGATGAGAAACTATTCAGTGTTTAGAAGACATGTGTGCTCAATATTAGCTTCTCTTCTTATATAATAT